TCCTTTGAAATATTTAGGGTTCTTACTTTGTCGAAATATATGCAGGTTGAAAGTGGTGATCTCATTGCATATGGATTGATCCCAGAATTTGTTGGTAGATTTCCCATTCTTGTTAGTCTATCTTCCCTTAGTGAAGACCAACTTGTTGAGGTAACTTGCGATGCATGCATGTGCTGTGTCTCTTTAATTGTTCTTTCTGTCAAAGGGCACATGTTGCTTCAATTTATTATTTATTATTGTTCCAATCACAGACTGCCAATTTTTATTGGCTATCCTGCTTTCTTCAAGGTTTCTGCGTACCTTTTAAGCATTTATCCAAGAAGTATTTTAGTAGTATGTTCAGATTGGTTCTTGGTGTCATGCATATTTTTTTTATCAACTCTACCATAATTTTCGGGTAAGATGTGCCATCATCTGCCACAAACAAAAATTGGTTCGCATGCTGCCATAATTTTCAGTTGATGAGACATACTTCAGTTACTGGCCAGTTAGTTGACTTTGTTTTATGGTTTTACCAAAATACAATCACTGTATTTTTGCCTTGTGACCGCAAAAGTTTTGCACATTGTCCATACAGCTTGATTTTGAAAAACACTGGCTATATACTCCATTAGGCATTATCTGTCTGTGAAGTGCGATATATAATAGGTCCTACGTACATAAATTAATTGTACTTTCTTAATACATTTATTCACTGCAGGTTCAAGTTTACTTGGCAACATTCAAGTTTATTTCCTTATACTTTGTTAAGCATTCTAGGTCCTACGTACATGAATTAATTGATCTTTCTTAACACATTTATTCACTGCAGGTTCTTACAAAACCAAAGAATGCCCTAGGCAGGCAGTATACAAAGTTGTTTGAAATGAATGATGTAAGCGAGTATTTCTTACAAATTCTGGAACTTTGTTTAGAGTCAGAATATTCTGAAGTATAACCATTTAATTAGTTGTTTTCATATCACATCATTGTATTATAGGTCAAGTTGCATTTTACTGAGAAGGCTTTACGGCTTATTTCCAAAAGAGCAATAGCGAAGAACACTGGAGCTCGAGGTTTAAGGTCAATATTAGAAAGTTTATTGACTGAATCCATGTACGAGGTATATATTTGTATCTTCCCGCTAGCTGAAATTTGTCAACTGAGGTTTTATAGCATTTTAGGAAATCAATTTGGAACAGCATCGTGAACCTGGAATATTGTTTTTTTTTTGTATGATTCAGTTCTAGCTTTTCAGGGTCACTCAACCATTGAATTCACAAAAAAGAATGATACTCTGCCTGTTTTTGGTTCAAGTCCAATCATAAGCACTGTTTCATTAGTCAAACCAATGAAATCATGTCTGGTTTAGACTCTAGAGACATAACCCAGAAAGGAACCAAAACCAATGCCCCAGATATCCAAACTTGAATTTACTATAGGAAATTTATACATACTACCATATTGTTTTCACAATCAAAGATCTTCCCATGCGCTAAAATTCTTGGCTTGTCTTTTCTTGTGTTTCTGAACGTTAAAATTGAGTGGTAAACCTTCAAACTAGATGGAACATATTTTACTATGCAGGGAGTTAATTGTAGTGATCCCTCAATACAGCTACCTATATTTTTGGGACAAAAGGAGTAAATATCTTGTATTGAGTTACTCCCCGTTTGGCATAGATCCAGCTCCCTACTCCAACTTACCTAGAGCTGGAGCTGTGCCAAACGGTATAGATTCTCAATATTTTGGAGCGGAGTTGGCAGAGCTGCTCCACAAATTTGTACTACGGGGATTGAGCTGGGTTTTTGCTGCTCTACAACTCCACTCCACCTCAAAAGACCCACTACCCTTAATTATTTTAGAGTATTTACACCAAAATGCCATTGAACTACCCCTTCCTCCCCATCTTCCTCCCGTTCCCCCATCTTCCTCCTGTTCTCTGTCCTCCCCCATCTGCCATTGAACGCAGCGGCCGACGGTGGTGTTTGTGTCAGCAGAGGCGGTCGGCGGCGGGAGGAGCGCGGGCGGCGGAGGCGGCGCGGCAGGCGCGCGAGCAGCGGTGGCGCACGGGCGGCGGTAGCGCGCGGGAGGCGGCGCGGGGTCGGCGGCGAGCGGGCGGCGACGTGCGGACGGTGGCGCGGGGTCGGAGGTGGCTGGGCGAGGCGCTGGCGGCGGCGGCAGGGCGAGGCGCGGGCGCGCGTGGTGGCCGCGGCGGCGGCGGCCCGCAACCTGACCACCGGCGGCGGCAGCGGTGGCGGCGCGCGGGCTGAGGCGCTGAGCGGCGGCGGCGGCGGCGGAGGCGGCGCGTGGGCTGAGCGGCGGCGGCGACGCCAGCGACGCCACCAAGGTGTTCGACGAAATTCCAACAAGGGCGTGGTCGAGTGGAGCTAGCCAATATAGCCAAACACTTTTCATATCCACTTTAACTCCTATAGGAGCCAGCTCTCACTAGAGTTGGAGTTTAGAGTTGAGAGTTGGGAGTTGGAGCCCTACCAAACGGGGCCTTACACTTTTGGTTGTCCGTTGGTTCCATTACATTGTTTGAGTAGGTTTTTTTTTTCAGTTTTACTATGTCAAAAGTCCTGTTGTTACTTAAACCATTGTAATGAACATTATTTTTTTTACAGATTCCAGAAATACGAACTGGAAAAGACAAAATAGACGCGGTTGTTGTTGACGAAGACTCTGTTGGATCTACAAATCAGCATGGTTCTGGAGCCAAGATTCTTTGTGGAGAAGGAGCATTGGACCTTTACTTGGATGAACATAATAAAGAATCAACGGTGAGCATCATCATCATTTTTCCATACACGATGTTACCTCAAAAGTCTTTCTTATGTGCACTTGACCGTTTAGCACTATTATTTAGATATGGGATGCAGCATTTAATGTTGCTCCTGTTATATTTCAGTGGCTAGACATGGGGTTGCAGACATTAGAGGCATGCTAATTCAGCAGTTTTTATTGGCTAGTTTATTTTGTGAATTCCCCTGCTGGCCTGTTCACCTCAGAATACCTAAAGATGACTTCTAGTTACTGGTAGAAATATACGTTGAAAATGTTAAAGAACCAATCAGTCGTTACATTCCCCTTGAGCCTTACATGCTAGTGGTGATGAACTTATTCAAGTAATATTTAATACATCATGTTTATCAGTTTTCTTCATCACTCCTGATTTTTCAGTAGAGACAACGATTGATATGTATATAGTATATTTTTTGGGAGAACAAGCAAACAGTTGCATCACTTATCATGGTAGTGTCGTATTGTTTAATTAGTAAGACCAGCCTTTGTATTTCTGGTTGGTCTCCATCTTCACTTATTTGTACGCTCCTAAAAGATTTACGTTTCAGCTACGACGGTCGGAGAAGGTGGATGGAGAACCTGACATTGATACAGAAGCCCCTTCTAGAGTGGCCAGCATGTAGGGATTCCTGACAACAGTAATTATGTATATAACTTGTTATCGGCCATGTAACTGTAGCCAATTCAAATGTAAAGTCATCCTCCTCATACATTCATGTATAAGGTCCATGTCGGGGGTGCAATTTCTCTTGGCGATCAAAACCTTCCCTTTCTGTGACATTTTTTTAAAAAGAAAAGGTAAAGGGGAATAGATTCTCATGGCCATGATGAAGTTCCAAGCCTCCTGTTCATTTCCTGGAAGGAACCTGTCGAGCGATGCATTATGATTACTGGCAATATATTGTCGGGACACTGATCAGGTGCAGTTACTAGTGTTATTGCATCTTTGGCAGGGGAGGTTAAGCAGCAAGCATGTGTTCAAAGTTCTCATCATTTTATGTCGAAAAAGTCCTGATCATTTGGAAAAAGGAAAATCATTGAAAGAAACTGGCCGCCATACCTGGTCTGGTAATGACGACGGTACCGGTTTCTTGGTCTCTTTGTAAAGTTGATAATAACCATATTTTTTTTTCTAGGGGTAATCTCTTGTACAGTATGGTTGGTCCACGCCCGCCTGTTATTCTGGTAAACGTGTAGGCACGCTCACCCGACCACGGCTCTCGTGGGTGAGCAATGTGCCGGTGACAGACCAGAAAAGAAGAGAAGAGAGACCTTCGCTTGTTCATGTTCTCCGCATATACTCGTAGAATCCTGGTATCATCTGCACTCCATCTCTCGGCACGTACTCCTTCATTCATATTTATTCCTAATACAAATTGATCCCTTTTCATTCCTAGGCTGTGTTTAGTTCACATCAAAATTTTAAAAGTTTGGTTGAAATTGGAATGATACGACAAAAAGTTGAAAGTTTGTGTGTGTAAAAAAATTGTGCTGAAAAAGTTAGGAAGGTTGAAGAATTATTTTGGAACTAAACAAAAATTTGAATGCTTACCTCAGTGCAAAGAGCAGAGAAGAGGTTTGAATGTTTGATTGCTACTCCCTCTGTCCCATAATATAATGGATTTTGAGTTTTTACTTGTAACATTTGACCACTCGTCTTATTCAATTTTTTTTAAAATTATTATTTATTTTATTTGTAACTTACTTTATTATCTACAGTACTTTAAGCGTAACTTTTCGTTTTTTATATTTGTAAAAAAAAATTTAAATAAGACGAGTGGTCAAACGTAAAATGGGTTGAAGAAGGCCGGTCCTAGTACAAATTGATCCCTTTTAGGACGAATAGTTCGATTGTTGAAGGACCGTGACAGTATATATTTCCTTCTTTTTTACTAGTAGTGCCGTACTAGTACTCAGAGACTGTCAAAGTAGCACGAGAATCGAATGCTGCTGCAGGCTTTGAATGAATGCCACATGTACCAGAAGTAGTAGCATCGCATTTGCAGCCAGCAGCAAAGCAGCATACGGAGCCGGCCAGCCTTGCCACCACGCCAACGCCACCGCTCCCCTCCCTCGTCAGTTTAAAATTTGAACATTCGCCGCACCCCCACCTCATCCGCACTCCCCCCGCATCATCACCACGCTTTTTTGTTGTTTGTTTGGTTATATAAAATCGAATCCCCTCCCCTCGTCGCTAAAAAAGCGCACAAGCAAAAGAAAAACGTAATTACAAGCCACCCCCACCCAATCCCCCCGCACCACCACACCACCATTACACCCGCAATCAACCGCCCCCACCACCAAACCACACCACCCCGCAACCCAAACGCTAACGCAACAATCCCCTCCTCTCCAAATCCAATTCCAAATCCCCATCCGCCGCCGCTAATCGGAATCGCGGCGGATCACCCTCCGCCTCCGACGAGGGTTCGACCCGATCGACTCCCCCTGCCCCGGCGGGCTCGCGGGCGGCGGGCGGGGGGCTGAGCTGAGAGCTGAATTCGGGTTCGATCTGTGGCCATGGACATGGCGAGCATCGAGTGCGTCTCCTACTCCGACAGCATGGATGACGACGACGACGATGGCGTCGGCGTCGGCGGCGTCTCCCACCTGCCACGCCCCATCCTCGTCAAGCCCTCCTCCGCCGCCGCCGCCGTCAACGTGGTCGTCGTCTCCGCGGGCAGCGGAGGGGGCGCGGGGGGAGGAGGAGGAGGGGTCGGGGTCGTGGCCGGGGCCCCCGCCGTCCCCCCGGCGACGAGCGTCCACGAGCTGCTCGAGTGCCCCGTCTGCACCAACTCCATGTACCCGCCCATCCACCAGGTCCGCCATTCTTGGGGTTCTTGCGGTTTCTTTCTACTACTAGGATCTCCTCTCACCGCAAGGGAGTCGTCGTCGGTGGGGTGGAATCGCGTGATCCGGTGCTGTGAGAGGGCTGGATCTTCGTTGCGTGTCTGTTTGGGGGTTCTTGATCCTGGGGCTTCTTGGATACTGCCTTTCCCTGCCACGGGAAAACATGGCGTGCTTGCTGCATTTCAGGGGATAGGATGGTTGCCGCGGCGTGTTGATTTCAACTTGCAATGCTGTTTAAACAACGATAATCAATTACGGACTGAGAGGATCCAGCAATTTCTCATTTCAGGAGATAAAATTATTGTTCTGATTATTGTCTAGTGACACCACTGCTCTTCACGTTTAGTTAATGCAATCGGTATAATTGACCCCATTTAGGTTACAGGTTTACGGCAAATTGAAACCAAATATCAACACCTAGCTAGTATCTCTTCTTTCGTCTTTCTTTTTTCTTTTTGGGAGAGGAATCGAGTATCTCCTGTTGTGAATATATTCTTATGTCTGGAATCAGCAGCATGTGCGGCAGAACATTTGGAGATGAGGATCGGCCTATCTTTGCCTTGTTACGTCACTTCGCGAATCCCATGAGTCTTTACTTTGACGCCCTCTTTCATGGTATTAGATGCTTGGTAGTGGAAAATATCACTGGGATGCAAGGATGATCACTACAACAAATGCTAGTGAAGTGTTGGGTTGTATAGAACAGTTCATTTCTAGCCTTTTTTAGTGCATTTCTTTTTGTAGTCTAGGGGATGTGTTGTATGCATGCTTGTATGCCCTTACACAAGTGGAAGGTAAGGCTTAAGTTGGGACATGGAAGATGTCATGTAGTTTAAGATGATCGGTTATTCTTTTTGTTACCTGTTATTTCGTTTTCTTTATCGTTCTGTTGCAACTTATTACCTTTTTATTAAAATTTACTTGGAAGCAGCTGTATTAACTGTTTGTTAAGAAGTATTGCCCAATGTATCAAAATCTTTTCCTGCATGCACTTTGGACTGTATTACTGCTTGATGGACTATTATGGTCATATGGTGTCGTATGATGTGTCACATTTTTAAAACGAAGTGATGACCTGTTAACTGACCTAAAGGTTACACTTTTTTATATCAGGGATATGTTGTCACATTATAGTTTGTTATAATACCAAAATTTCATATCTGGAGTGGCTTGGAGATTATTATAATACCAAAATTTCATATCTGGAGTGGCTTGGAGATTATTATTTTTTTGTCTATTGTGAATTTGTGTTGCTAGTTAGGTCACTGGGAGCCTGAAGAATTACCAAGCATGCTTTCTGTGATCCTGTTAGAGGTGTAGGTTAAGTATCTTTCTACTATAGAAGTCTTTCCTAACATCAAACATAAAGACGTACCATTATTAATAACCTGTGCACGGACATGTAGTTTTATCGCAACATTTGGCACAGCGATCAGATTCAAGTGAGGAAACTGTGTTTGATGAATGATCTCAATGAGTCGTCACAACATATAGAGCAGGCAGGGGCGGATCTACCGCCCGGTGACCCCAGACATCCATCTGGGCTCGTCGATGGATAATCCATTAAAATTCCATGTAATTAGAAAATTTGAGATAGAATTTCGGTAGTAAATATTAGCTATAGTGAAGCTTGCCCAGGCTGTAAAATATTTCTGATTAGCTACTAAGCAGGCAATTAATGCGGACAATGATGTTATTATGCCAGAAAGAGCTGAACTTTTCCAAAAGCAGTTACAAACCACAATAAAAACCATATTTTAATCCTTCTTGTTAGGATTTCATAATATCTCATGAATCAGGAAGCTTTTAAACAAAAGTCCATGTTGTACCATTTGTATGTGAGTTTTGCGTCTGTGGTATTCCATCACAAATACATGGACATAGTACATGTTTTCTCCCTCTCCCTCTCTTTTTTTGTGGTATTTTCACTGTATCTTTCATCTTGTGTTGATGCAGTACATTCTTGTTTGTTGACATTAACTATTTTTCTGTAGTTCTTGCTTTAGTAATACTCCTGGTAGAAATTTGTCTGAGTGAAAATATGTCCTATTTAGCTATTTTTAGCATGAAGCTTGAATCTTTCTAGGTTCAGCATTTACAAGTCAGAATTCAATATAAGTAATTAATAATTGACTAATATTTTTTGCCATATTACAGTGCCAAAATGGTCATACTCTGTGTTCAACCTGCAAAACCCGTGTGCACAACCGCTGCCCAACCTGTCGACAGGAGCTTGGTGATATTAGATGTCTAGCATTGGAGAAAGTGGCTGAATCGCTTGAGCTACCCTGCAAATATTACTCACTAGGTTGTCCAGAAATCTTTCCGTACTACAGCAAACTCAAGCATGAATCACAGTGCAATTTCAGGCCATACAACTGCCCTTATGCTGGCTCTGAATGCTCAGTTGTCGGGGATATTCCTTTCCTAGTTGCTCATCTGAGGGATGACCATAAAGTTGACATGCACTCAGGGTGCACATTCAACCATCGCTATGTTAAGTCAAACCCCAGAGAGGTCGAAAATGCTACTTGGATGTTGACTGTAAGTGTTTACCTTTATTGCCTTCTATCACTTGCAGTCTCATTAACATATATATTGGTGTGGGTGGTACAATTTAACTGCAAGAGTTTTTTTTATCCATGTTTAAGGTGATATTTGATACTTATTTATTATCCTTTTAGGTCTTTCACTGCTTTGGGCAGTACTTCTGCTTGCATTTCGAGGCCTTCCAACTTGGAGTGGCTCCGGTTTACATGGCCTTCCTCCGTTTTATGGGCGACGAAAATGATGCCAGGAACTATAGTTATAGCCTTGAGGTTGGCGCGAATGGCCGGAAGATGATATGGGAGGGCACTCCCCGCAGCATAAGGGACAGCCACCGGAAGGTTAGGGACAGCCATGACGGCCTCATAATTCAGCGGAACATGGCTCTGTTCTTCTCAGGCGGAGAGAGGAAAGAGTTGAAATTGCGGGTCACCGGCCGAATCTGGAAGGAACAGCAGAATCCTGACTCGGGAGCCTGCATTCCAAACCTATTCAGCTGAACTGAAATAACAAGAGAGAAGGATTCGGATTCGGATTCGGTTTAGGTGTATATTGGGTGATGCGTGTGGTGCACCTGTGCCCGCTTCTGTAATTTGTTTGTGTTGCTTCCACTTTTCTTCCACGTAGCCGTTGTGGCCTGCCCTAAATTAGTTAGGGCTGACGTGTGAGGACCATGAAAAAAAAATACGGCTTGAGCTTTGTGGGTTCTGATTGATCACATGATAAGAAATTTCTCGATTTGTTTCTTTTGCCCTTGTGCCCCATTTTGAGATGGGAGGCCATTATGCTCTTTCTTGCTTGTAATTTGCAACCATTGATCAGAGCATTTTCTGGGTTTGTATGTTTTCATCTATGCTTGATTGGGTATTCGGGTGTTAAGTATCCATCCATGACGAAATGGTGAAACTGTAAAATGTTAAAAATTCAATTACTTAATGTCGTTTATAAGATAATATGCACATGTTCCTTTCTCAGAAAAAAAAATGAAAGGGAATTGCAAACCCATCATGTTCAGAAAGCTCTAGATATATACTCTTAGTGAGACGAGAAAGTGACTAAATACACCTAATTACCATGCAGCAAATATATGTTACTCTTGAACAATTAAAAGAGATAACATTTAACATTTAATTACGGTATTCTGCACCCTCCTGGATCTTGTATGATGTTGATACCCTTGTGTACTCTGCGATGATGCTGAATGTTAGCCTTCACTAATCTGAAGTCTTCAGAAATTTAATTTACAGCTAGAGTAATCTCATCAACTGCTGTTACTGAATTCAAAAGTTCCAGGCGTCCAGCATTGCATAATGTACATCACATCTAGGCCTATGAAGCTACCATTGTGCTGCGTTGCTTCCAAATATGCAACTCTTTCTAACTGTATTTTTTCAAGGGTACGAAAAGAAATCATCATCATCATCATCAACAACAACTCAAACAGTTCGGGGAAAGGAATTGTCTCAGAAATAGTAAACAGATTCTTATAATACTGTCCCAAAAAGATTTATGCTCTGACAGCACAATTCTATCAGAATGTAGTGAATATCAGAAAGTTAATTCTATCAGAATGTAGTTCATGACCTTAATGTGTTTATCCCAGCGATTTCAATCAGAGCGAGAAACCAGGATCACACAATGCATAATCTTCCAGTTTCAGCTAAGCCAAGATAATCCCATCCAAAAAATAACTGAGCACTACGAAGCATGAACAAAAAGCCTTAGTTCAATCCAGTGTGAGTGAAAGGCGTGCTTCATCTCCTTCGCCTCCGAAGCTTCCACTGCTCCAGGACGTGCTGCAAGGCCTCCTGCATGCTGGCCTTCCTGTCCTCCTTGTTGTTCCACAGCTCTGACACCACGTAGCTGCCGCTGGCATTGTACTCGTTGATCTCCAGCAGCGCCGTGGTCACGGCCTTGTAGACCTCGTCACCGAGCTGCTCCTTCAAGCCCACTAGCTTCTCATCATCTTCATTGATGATTTGCTACAGAAAAGAAAACGGATATCGTTGTCATGTCAGTGATGGAAGTGTAGATCATATATTTGTCGGGAGATCGAATGCGAAAAACTGTGCCAGAAGATTTCATTCTGTTGAGCATACCTCAGTCTTTCCTCCTCTGGTAACAATCTTGAACGGATGCCAATTGGCATCCTTCAGATTTTCTTGCCACTCGGAGCAAAATTCAGCAGCTTTTATTTCAGCTTCACCGTCAGCAGTACCATACCTTTTCTTGCAAGCTGCAAGGAAGGGTTTCTCATCCAGCTCGCCCATTCTCTTGAGTCCGATGGTGCTACGAGGGCCTAACAATTCTGATAAGCCCTACAAAACATACGCACAAACTCAGGTCTCAGCCACAATCATAGTATAATAAGATTGAATCTGAAATGAGTCCAAATAAACACAAATGAAAATATCTTCAGACTCTGTCAAGCAGTAGAAAGGAAAGATCAGCATATCATCACATTACAGAAATCAGCGCTTTCTTGGCATCTTGCAGTTCATCATTTGTCTTCCTTTCTTTGATAATGAGAGTTTGATTCAGACCTTCCATATATTCCATCTCCTCAATCTTCTCATTTAGTTCCTCAGTCAGCTCGTCAGTACGTTTCTTCACATCAACACCCTCTCCCTCCATGTGTTGGACCACCAGCAGTCTTCCTCTAAGTTGTTGTATTTCCAGTTCCAGCTTTTGCTTTTCATCCAATTGCTTTTCTAACTGCAGGATTTTGTTCAGAGCAATCTCCTTCTCTTTCTGTGAGATTTTTACAAGCCAGAGTAAATTCCAGAGCATGAGAAATTAAAAGAATCTTGCATAAGATTAATAATTGGAAACAAGAGTGCAGACCTTGTGTTTCTCAACAAGCTTTAGCACATTTTTATCAGACTTCTGTTGCTCGATTCTAGCCATGTGGATGGAGTCGTTTTGCTCAGAGTTCTGTAGGGGAAATCAGTAAGACAAACAGTCAGATAAGATATTCTAACAAAGATCATCGTAACCAGACTGTAAATGCGGAGCTAACAGGAAGTGTAATATAGATACATGACAAGTATACAGAAATCCTGTCACCCCTAGAAAGATTGTCATAGCTGTTCCTGAAGATAGAACTCTGAAGAGGAAATGCAAATGCTAAACAGTAACATAAAGCAAAGAGAGCAAAGCTGTGGTTACATTCATACCTTTTTCATCTCACTCTCCAATTTTCTTCTTTCTATGTCAGTTTGAGCAACAAACTTGCTTAGTTGCTTGGATCTCCTCTCGATGGCATTCTCTTTATCATCCAACTGTTTCCTCAGCTGATCAGTCTCTTCAAATATTTTCTGTGAATGTTCACGAGCAGCAGATTGCATATTTCGCATTTCTGTAACAGCAATAAAATGAAACAACACAATAGATATTATTATTCTGGCAAATTGGCAATAAAAGTAGACAACAACATAGCAATCATATGCCCATGGCATGAGAATTATTCATATGAACAGTTTGTAGTATGTACCTTCATTGTAACTTTTGTGCAGCAAGTCAGTTTCTTCCATTGCCCTTTTAACAGAGAGATTCATTTGATTGCATCTGCATTCCAGTTCCACCAAATACTTGCTCTTAGCTGTAATCTGGTGTGACAAGTTAGCTATGAGAGTCTCAGTCTTGCGAGACAGGTCATTTTCCAGACCAGACACGGTCTTCAGATCACCATTTGCTGACAAAAACCTACCAACTGGGTCACTAGATTTGTAGTCCTCTTCTTTTGCCATCCATCCACAGATGTACTTCTCTTGTCCAAGTGCTGCCCAATCCTTTTTACCCAGACGTTGTGATTTGAAGTAGTTGTGGAATGCCAAGGCGTTCGTGAACCCAATCCAATCTTTGCTGAAACCGACAACTGCATAACCAGTATACCTACCCTCGGAGCAGAGCACAGCAGTAAACTGCAAGGGATTGAAATTAGCTAGCTGCTGCATCAGACTAGCTCCATCCTCCTTTGTTTTCTCAGCTGGAACATTTGCAAGGATGCCCATCCATGGCCAAACATACGCTTCCTGATCTTGCAATGGCCTTGGAGGATTACTTGGTCCAATGGCCTGTCGTGATGGCAATGAGCCTGCTGCATCAGCATAGTCGTTCTTGAGAAGATTGGCCAAGGCCATGTGGTTTGCCTTCACCTTTGGAGCGCGATTGGATGCGCCAACCCCAATGGCATGCTGAAGTAGCTCGTTGTAACGGTAGTCCTGCTTCTTCTTCCCCAGACAGAATGGGCATCTGAACTTTTCATTGCCTAGACTCACCACCGGCTTCCCAGACTTGAGGTCCATGTAGCACTTGTCAGCATAGTCATCAATATCTGCATCACTTAGCTCTGACTCGTCGGAGGTGAAATCCATGGCAGACCTGAGTGACACGGAAATATTCAGGTGAGAACATTGCATTGAGCTCGAAAACAGCACTGGATGCACCTTTGTTACAACCACAGTTAAAAAAAAATCAAGCAAGGATGTAGTAAGTGTGCATATGGCATTGTTCAGAACATCAGAGGACCACACAGAACAACAGGGCAATGGTCATTCATGATTAGAATAGGAATTACGATTGCATTTCAATTTGCATTTGCATGACACAACATTAGACAGTGTTACAGATTCTCTAACACTAAATGTGCTTCAGTAGAAGAATTGAAATAAGTCAGCAGCAAAATAATTATGAAACAAGCAACACAAAATCCTACAGTTTTGAAATAACTCACTGATGTGTGTTCATTTTGCAATCTACTTCTTTTTTTTAGCAAGAAGGGCAGATCCCCTCCCATTTCCATTAAAGAAACCAGCACAGAACATTTCAGGAACCACTACACTCAGAACAAGTACAGGAAAAGTATATAACCTGAGAAGACCTGATAGGCAATGCCATCCCCATTTGCACCCCTGAACTAGCCTAAGCAACAATCCAGTAAAGTTCCAGCAAACAAAACTACTGCCAATGAACAGAGGTGATGCAATCTATTGCAATTGCATCAGAAACAGCCCTATAGAAGCGAAACTCGAAATATCTACACAGTCCAAGTATAAATGTATAATCAAGAAACCTTTTAGGCACCCTCACTAACTATCAAAGATCAGTTCAGTCGGACTTAGTCGCACCGCAGCCCATGATAACTTCCCCCATGGGAATAATAACTATTTGCCACTCTTCCGAGTAGTTCTAAAGGATTTGCCATTAAACTCACATGTCATAGACACATAAGGACCCACATGTCAAATACAGCGAGTGATAAATTCTTAATTGACACATCTTAAAAGTTGCAAATAATTAAATGTCCCTCTCCCATGGACAACCAGTGCTCTCAAGCAACTGAGATGTTTATGCCTTTCCCTTCCCCCTTCTTTTTTCCTTTTTAATCCATCTTCTCAATCTCAATTCTCAAATCGACCAAAAATCCGGCGCCGCCTCCCTCCGTTGCTCAAGCGGTTGCTCTCCCCTCTCCCCTCTCTCTCTCTCTCTCTCTCGTGGGCCAGTGAAAGGCTCCTAACGGGCCATGGGCCTGACTAGTGAGTGACTACACAGCCCAGCAAGCATCAAAGCATCAAGGCAGCATCTCTCTCTCGTCGGCAGAGCGGGCGACGGCGGCCGGAGATGGTGAAGACCGCCGGCGCCGCCATGCCGAGAGCTCTGCTTCTGCTTGGCTTGGATGCAGGTGCAGAAATGTGTTATGAGCAGGCAAAGAAGCGAGATGAACCTACAACAACAACAAGAAAAGGAGCACGCAGACGTACGCAGACTTGGCATTTCCGTATGGATGGGTGAGAGATTCCATGGAGATCGACCAACCAAACCAAGTGGAAATCATTCAATCAATCGAAGCAAAATGGAGAAAAAGCAAGGAAGCGAGCAGAGGAACACATGGTATATATAAAGCAACTAGAAACCCATATCCTCCTAGTACTTGGATGTGTGTTTCCATCTACTATGGAGTACGCACGTAGAGATCGATCGATCAAAACCCACCCTATAGCTATATCATACGCGTGCAACGCAGAAACAAATTCACCCAGAAAGAAAAAAACGACGACGACGAGGGAGGAGATTATCCACCACCATCCGCGCGAAAGCAAAAACGAAGCAAGATTCTCCTGCAAGATCCAAGAAACCAACAACAACAACAACAAGAGGATACACACACAGAGAGAGATGGAGAGCAACGACCTGAAGCGCCTCCTTCCAACCAAAACCAGATCGATGAGCACGTCGTCTCTCTCTCCCTCTCTAAGCTTTGCTTTCTTCCACCTCCTCTCTCTTATAGGAAGGAGAGGAGAGGAGAGGAGGAATTAATAATGTGGAGGCCACACCTGCTGCTGCTGCTGCTCTGAACCTGCACCACGCGCGTCGTGGGAGGCGCCGCCTCCATCCTGGCCGTCCACCTCCCTGAATCGACGGCGGTTAGGTTAGGGGTGATGGGTGGGCCCCACGGTGGAGGGAGAATGAGAATGACGAGAATGGCATGCAGATGTGGTGGCCTTCCGACTGTCCTACGCCTTCTGTGCCTTCCCGTTCAGGAAAGGAGAGGAGAGCTTTTGACTGCACTCTCCTTTCTTTTTTACTGCTCTGCTCTGTGCAGGCCTGCCAAATCTGCCATGGATGGATGGATGGATGGATGCTTTTTGTTTGGTTTTGCACGGATCCGGCGTTGCCGTGTTGCACAGGATGCTTTGCTTCCTCCTCCTGCATCCTGAATGAGCATGAACGTGCAGATCAAGTCGAGAGATTCGAGCCAAACATGGCAGTGAGAATTGAAATGGTTCACGTTTTCGTTTTTCAGATATGCGAACATGAATATGAATACTAGTATCCGGTTGTGTATCTCAGAGTTCTCTACTAATAAAAAAAAATAGAACCCCTTCATTCCAGTTCTTTCTCAACCACTGTATTTCTCTCATGTAAAAAAGCCACATGTCTTAGTTAAGAAAAAACCTCCTACCTAAAAGAACCGGTGTTTCCACGTAAAAATTGACACATTGCATATTGAAAAGAAAAAAAAAATCAAATCCTGTCAAGCCATATTGAAAAGAAAAATCGCTTAATTTGTAACATATGGACGCACACATAGATCGAATATGAACCAATTATTCGTTTACGAATAATTTTGAAAAGCATGAAAACCTCTCTAGTTGTGGTCCCAAAACAATGGATAGATGTAACTAACTCTTTTATCATAAAAAGAAATATTCTCATTAGTTTTAGCAACCATATTACTAGGACATAGGCACATGCAAAGAGCCACAAATATAGGCACTTTAACACCAGCTTGCGGACATATAACATGTTAAGTAACAGATGAACAGTTCAAGCAGCAAACGACATGCACTCTTTCTTGGCAAGGACTATGTGATTAATTTGGTCCAAGATTTCAGAAATTTTATATAGGCATATGATGTAAAAGCAGATACTATAAAAAAAATCTACGATGGAAAAAAGAAAAAAATCAACTTAAATCTTAAGTTTTAAAATACAAAATTTGATGCATGTATATATAAACGTAAGTGAAACGAGGGAAAGTGCCTGTAACCTAGTGGTTACAAGAGCCTCAGTAGCACCTGAGGTCCTGGGTTCGACTCCCCATAGGAGCGAATTTTCCAGGATTTAACGGCGTTATGCTTTCAGTGGTAGGCGACGTACCCGTCGACAGCGAGGTGCCTGTGGTGACTTGCCGGCCCAGTCTTCGAAGATGCTCATAGGGGTAGGGTTTGCGCGTTATGCTTTCAGTGGTAGGCGACGTACCCGTCGACAGCGAGGTGCCTGTGGTGACTTGCCGGCCCAGTCTTCGAAGATGCTCATAGGGGTAGGGTTTGCGTGTTGTGAGTGACTGCGTTGTACTGCGTAATTTTAAAAAAAAACGTAAGTGAAACGAGATGGCGCTGATATATTTGAAGGCCTAGAAACGCCCATGGCCTAATGAAGTGACTTCTAATCAGGGGATTGTGTTTTTATTCTTTCTGCTTCATTTCTCTCTCTCTAGCTTCCGGGAAATTGCTCGTTTTCTTCTTTCTCTATTTTCGCTTGCTGCAGGAGAGGTGCTCATTTTTTTCTTTTATTTTCGCTTCTTGTAAAAGGAAAACGTGGGCCGACCAACGCAACACCAAGGCAAAAGGAGCTGTGCACTCTGAGTGTGTATCAGGCAGGCTGAGTCCATGGGCAGCAAGGATGGCTGCCATCTTGTCTGTTTAACACAAAAACGGAAGGTAAGTACACATCAGTGACGGACCGGCTGACACGCAAACCAGGCGCACCTCATTTTCGGAAAAAAAAAAGCATCGTTATCGGCAGAAGGCATCTCCCATCGTCTCTTTCCCTGGCACCGACTACTCATGTGTGTGCTAAGGTGAAGTGGATAAATATTACTCCCTCCGTCTAAAAAAAGGCAAACTATGGATTTCCGTGTCCAATTTTAACTGTCCGTTTTATATGAATTTTTTTTATAATTCATATTTTCATTGTTGCTAGATAATAAAACATGATTAATATTTTATGCGTGACTTGTCTTTTTAATTTTTTTCATAATTTTTTCAAATAAGACGGATGGTCAAACGTTGGGCACGGAAACCAGGGTTTGTCTTTTTTTAAAACGGAGGGAGTAGGCATCTAGTTTGATTCGGTAAAATTTGCTGCATGATATAAAATATCATGGTCTTTGCTACGTGACATTATCTAAAGAAAGTATGTTAGTTCGTGGATACCATAGAAATATGGTAATTAGTCGTATACTCAACGTATTATTTTATTATATTTGATGGAAACAAAAAGAGAAAATTCATAAGAAACAAGTTTGCCCTTGTGGACTCCTCCTTGCCCCCGCCACCACCAGTAGCGGCACCGCCCCCTCTCCTCCCGCTAACAACCACTCCCACTACCTTTTCCTCATCACCCCAGCGGCCACCGCTATAGTCCTCCTGCTCGTTATACTCCTGCTGCTTGTCGCGCTGCACTTCCTGAGCTACCACTGCACGCTCATGTTCTCACCGCCGCCGGACCCTGCCTGCTTCGCCAATACTTCCGTCGCGCCACTGGTGGATTCCACCTGTGTAGCTTTGCCCGCAGTGCCGCCTCGCCGGTCTACCTCACCGCCTTTCCCCAACATGTCGCTCGTCGTTGAGAGATTCCTCGATTGGCCCAGACGGTTCGCCAGCACCCGCGTGGAGGCGGCCGCTCTGATCGACACCAAGAACCTCACCGCGCATCTCATGTAGATCTCGGCAATAACCATCATGTCCTGCGAGGGAAGTAAGGCAGAGGTCCATGATAGCTCCACCGCCGATGCCTATTGTCGGAAGAAGACCAGGAGAAGGGAGAAGAAGATGAGAAGGGAGAAGAAGATGAGGGCAAAACAAACATTTTACATAGTTTTTCTCTCATCAATTGGGTGGATATTGTATTTTTATGCGCTCGGTGTCCTATGGCAAATTACCACGCTTTCGAAGTGTCATTAGGAAAAAATCACATTCTTACGACGTCTACCAGCAAAGATAATAAGTTTTTAAGTGTCATGTAGCAAATTTTGCATTTTGATTCAACAATATGTAGTTTACATGTTTCCACTATATATATGGTTTGCAATATATATTTTGCCAGATTATGAACTTATGTGAGACGTGTGTGGTACCAGTAGTGTAATTATTGATGTTCTACTTGTTTTCAAGGATGAGATATGTACCTCTAGAATATATATTTATGGAGTTATGCGCTTTTTGAGGACCGGAGTCTAGTTAATTATATACATAGTCAATGTTTCATTTAGAATCTTGAGGCTTTCTAGTTTTACCTTTAGGACATCGCAAGAGTAACATTATAGGGGAAAACACTATTAATGTGGTAATTAGCTAATGAACATTGTGCCTATTATTTTACTGTATTTGTGCTAACAACGTGTGAGAGGGCCTATTTTTTGACATAGGGTGACCAAGTTGGCCCTAAGTGTATCACACATTTTGACAATTTGACCCTTTAAAAAAACTATTTTTACAAATGAACCGCCGCCAAACTTATTTTAAAAATAACATTTTTTTCAGCGCCACATCATCTGGCGCTGAACTTGACACCTTAGCGCCACGTCTACTGGCGCTGAATGCCGTGCCATCGCGGATGGGAGGCTAAGTCAGCGTGCCAACGCACATTCAGCGCCACACTATTTGGCGCTGAGATGTCTAAGTTCAGCGCCACATGATTTGGCGCTGAAAAAAGGGTTATTTTTGAAATAAGTTTTGGCGGAGGTTCATTTGTAAAAATAGTTTTTTCAAAGGGTCAAATTGTAAAAATTGTGTAAGCGTATCCGGCTCAAATTGAGATGGTCTGGCTCAAACATGTCTGTCGAGGAGTGATCCTCTCTAGCGGGAGATCGTGAGATCCCCCTTTTTGAGTTCAGCCGGGGAAAAGGGTTCGCCTCTCGAGATCGTGTATCCACCCTCAGGGTTTCCAGATCGCGTATGGGCGCCAAGATTATACAGGTTCGGGCCGCTATAGAGCGTAATATCCTACTCCTGTGTGTGGGATTTATGATTGAGTGTTACAAGGGTTCCCCAACTCTGGAGAGTGCTATTGGTCTGCTCCCTCTAAAGCTCAGGCCTGCTGGGAGTCGTCCCCCTTTTTCAGCGGGCAAGGTCCTCCTTTTATAGTTCAAGGGGATACCACATGCGCCGCTCCTACCTACTCTTTTATGGGAGAGGGACCCACTTTACCTTGACCGGACCACGATCCGTGCCTTCGCCCGGAAGCTAAGCGGCAGTTCGTCCTTTAGTGGGATCCGGCGCCGCCCCCCGCCTGCCACGGGGGACAGCCCTATAATTTCCTCTTAAATGAGTGAAGACTTGTGGCGGTCCTCGCGTGGAGGGAACCCCAGATGACGCCCCGATGGGACGGGACATACCTACCTCCACTCCGCCGAATACAGAGGCGACGTGGGGGCACGGCCGCCCGTCCAATCGGACGTGGCCGGCAACAGGCCGGTCACAGACTGGTCACACCCGATTGACGTGGGTCAGTCTAGTGGCACCGCACGTTCGCCCTTACCGCATTAAACGCGGTGAGGGACAGTTGGGGCGCCGCGCATTGATGGTCGTTCAGCCTGGGTCTCCTCCCCGCTTGCTCCCCCCGCCACATGGCAGTTGGGCGAGGGCCTCGGGGCAAGGCAGCGCGAGGGCCCGAGGGGCATGACGTGGCACCCCGAGGCCCCCCGGCCGCCTCTGCGACTCGCGAGGTGTAGGGGTAGGGCTAGGCTGTAGAGCCACGCGGCTGGATGTGAAGGTAACTTCCCCTCACTTTGCATACCCCCGGGCCCATATCTCCGATAGTAGCCCCCGGCA